CTACCTCTCCTCTCTTCCACTAAGGCCCATATACCTCCCGGGGGGTTCCGGTAACCTTCCGGTACTCCGGTAAAATCCTGATTTCACCCGGAACACTTCCGATATCCAAACATAGGCTTTCAATATATCAATCTTTATGTCTCGACCATTTCGAGACTCCTCGTCATGTCTGTGATCACATCCGGGACTCCGAACAACCTTCGGTACATCAAAATGCATAAACTCATAATATAATTGTCATCGAAACCTTAAGCATGAGGACCCTACGGGTTCGAGAACAATGTAGACATGACCGACACGTCTCCGGTCAATAACCAATAGCGGGACCTGGATGCCCATATTGGTTGCTACATATTCTACGAAGATCTTTTATCGGTCAGACCGCATAACAACATACGTTGTTCCCTTTGTCATCGGTATGTTACTTGCCCGAGATTCGATCATCGGTATCCTATACCTAGTTCAATCTCGTTACCGGCAAGTCTCTTTACTCGTTCTGTAATACATCATCCCGCAACTAACTCATTAGTTGCAATGCTTGCAAGGCTTAAGTGATGTGCATTATCGAGAGGGCCCAGAGATACCTCTCCGACAATCGAAGTGACAAATCCTAATCTCAAAATACGCCAACCCAACATGTACCTTTGGAGACACCTGTAGAGCTCCTTTATAATCACCCAGTTACATTGTGACGTTTGGTAGCACACAAAGTGTTCCTCCGGCAAAGGGGAGTTGCATAATCTCATAGTCATAGGAACATGTATAAGTCATGAAGAAAGCAATAGCAACATACTAAACGATCGGGTGCTAAGCTAATGGAATGGGTCATGTCAATCAGATCATTCATCTAATGATGTGATCCCATTAATCAAATAACAACTCTTTGTCTATGGTTAGGAAACATAACCATCTTTGATTAATGAGCTAGTCAAGTAGAGGCATACTAGTGACACTCTGTTTGTCTATGTATTCACACATGTATTATGTTTCCGGTTAATACAATTCTAGCATGAATAATAAACATTTATCATGAAATAAGGAAATAAATAATAACTTTATTATTGCCTCTAGGGCATATTTCCTTCAGCTGCCCCTTGGCGAACCGAGATCACCAACTAGTCTAGCAGACCCTCATCATGCACCACATGCGTACGCTCCAGCTTCTGCCACCGCCACTTCTGCAGTCCCAAACTTAGGAGAGATCCACGCATTGACCTTCCCAGGGCCAACTGCCATCGACGCCAGACAACGCCACCACCCTACGCGCGTCAATCAACACATGTCCATTGCCTAGACCCCGCAGCGCCATGCCGCCTAGACCCGTTGTCGTTGACGCGATAGATGCCACACCGCACCACCTCCGGCACCGGGAACCATCCAAGCTCGCCGTGCACACCTTCTAGCTCAATGCCCAAGACGACGCCTCCAGGAAGGTGACGACGCCATGGCGCCGCTACCGCCCATTCACGGGGGACTAGGGTTTTCACCTGGGCACAAAGGGAGGAGTGAGTAGGGGGTTGACCTCACCGTCGCCACCAAGGAGGGGAAACGACCAGAGCACCATCAACGATGTGGCCGGCTGCGGCGGTTAGAGGTGTCCACTGGACAAGCTCTCACCCCATCACCCACCTGGTTCGCCATCAACACCTTCGAGCACGGACGCCTGAGATTTGGATTAGCCGATGGGGAGAACCGCGCGCTAGGATGGTCCACCGCAGATCTGACGAGAGGCGCACGGGGAACCACCTCACTCCACGACCGTCTTCCACCGGGGTCCTGCTGCCCAAGAAGCTAAGGAAGTCTGACCGACCGCTGTGACGAACGCCCATCACCGATGGAAGGACGCCGCCCACACCAATCGAGGCCACCGCTTCAGATCCAGGCCCTGACCTGACCCGAGGCAGAGGAGCAACCAAAGGCCTCGCCGCCACTGTCCCTTGCAGGAGCGGGGATCCGGCGACTGCCTTCGGCGGCGGCGAGGGAGGAGGAAGGAGGGGAGGGAACCGATGGCGGACGGAGTTGGGGCCCCGGTGCACCTCCCGTGGTGTATCCTTGAGGAGACAAAACATAATATTTTCTATTCCCCTTATCTGCAAACATATTTGTAGGACTGCATTGTCATAGCCGCGATTAAAATGATGCTTTTTAGATAGTGCTAGCCAAAACTCATGTGCTGCTACAAATAAAACAACGAGACAGCCAACAGTTTGCTTCAATAAAACAAAAAGGCTCTAACTTTGCGAGCCATGACAACATCTCACACTTTGCAAGAAATCTAACACCTGGTGATAGTATGGGACAAGGAGGCAAACAAAATGCCACCACTAATTGACATCTTTACAGTAGCAACGGACAATGATACAATTCATCATACCACTAAATTCAGTTTTGGAAGCAAACAGAACCAGCTGTTCCGGCTCACACAGCCAGAGCCAGGTGGGTAGGGGTTTAGGAGAAGCCGCAAACCCAACAAAAAACAGATTCCGGATTCTACCACCTCCGGAACTGAAACCCCACTCCTCCCGTCGGCGGCCAACCACCTCAAATTCTCCACCTCCGTCCCCAAATCTCAAGTGCTCGCTGATTCTTTTGTGAAGCACGCGGCGGCGATATCTTGGGATTTCAGCGCGGTCCGGCCTGAGTCCCTCGTGGTAAGGGACTGACCTCGTCTCTTCCGCCCCAAATTTCTTCTACATTTCATTGTATCTTTTTTATGCAACCCAATCTTTAGACTTTGCCGTGCCCTAGAGCTGCAGGTCCGCCTTCTTCCCCGCCGCCGCCATCGCCGTTCCCGTCCTACAAACCAACCTCCGAATTTTCTGGGTGTGCACCGGCACGCCAGGCACACCATCTGGATCCGCCTCTGCGTGCCATTCAGCTCGCTGGGATGGCGACGCAGCTGCCCTGCTTCACGCAGCTCACCCCGCCGTCGCCGGGATGGAGAAACGAAGCCGGGAGCCTCGGGGCTGCATCTGGGAGGGCATTGGTCAGAAGCGTTCCATTTTCAGGTCACTCTCGCTTCAGGTGTCGCGCAACCCCACGCAGCGCTAACTCGTTTCATAAGAAAGACTCCTTCCTGGACCTTCACCCGGAGGTGTCCCTGCTCCGAGGCGAGCAGAATGACGAGGCTATTAACCCAAGGAAAGCTTCTTCTGATGGGAGCACGTTGGAGGGGCTGGGGGTGCCGCCGAGCCAGGACGATTACAACGCTGCCAAGATCAAGGTCGTCGGAGTCGGGGGTGGGGGTTCGAATGCTGTCAACAGGATGATTGAGTACTCCATGAATGGTGTCGAGTTTTGGATCGTCAACACCGATGTCCAGGCGATAAGGATGTCCCCGGTGCATTCCCAGAACAGGCTGCAGATTGGGCAGGAGCTCACTCGGGGATTGGGTGCGGGTGGGAACCCTGATATTGGGATGAATGCCGCCAAGGAGAGCTGTGAGTCCATAGAGGAAGCACTTCATGGTGCTGACATGGTTTTTGTCACGGTAAATGTCACCCCCTTCATATGAAACTATCATGTTATATGTGGAGGTATGATAATACTGTTCCTGTGTCCATATTGCAGGCTGGAATGGGTGGAGGAACTGGAACTGGAGGTGCTCCTGTAATTGCTGGAATTGCCAAGTCCATGGGTATACTGACAGTGGGTATTGTCACAACGCCCTTTTCATTTGAGGGGAGGAGGCGTGCAGTTCAGGCTCAAGAAGGAATATCAGCCTTGAGAAATAGTGTGGACACTCTCATTGTCATCCCAAATGACAAGCTGTTGTCTGCTGTTTCTCCAAACACTCCTGTCACGGAAGCATTCAACTTGGCTGATGATATTCTTTGGCAAGGAATTCGCGGTATCTCTGATATCATTACGGTAAGTAAACTGACGTATGCATTTGAAACTCTTATCACATAAGGTGGGAGAATGAATTAGCATATCAGAGATATATAACTTGCATAGATTTAATGTCCTCTTCCTCTTGCAGGTTCCTGGGTTGGTTAATGTAGATTTTGCAGATGTGCGAGCCATAATGCAAAATGCAGGGTCATCTTTGATGGGTATAGGGACTGCAACAGGTATTGCATCTGAAATAAGCTGCTGGTGTTTTTTTCTTGATATTTATATGATTGCTGCACACATCTAGCTCCATTCTTTGCAAGTTGAATTCTAGTTTGCACCCTGTTTATTGAGAAGACTTCATTGCATGACACAGCTAGGAGCAAACAATGTTAAATAGAGAAAAGTGATTGCCTGCCACAATGTGATGTTGAGTAGTGTTCAAAGATTTCGGTTCAAAAAGAGCTCTTTTATAGTGCCCCCAAATTATTATTAGTCATCTATTGTCTTAGATCTAAGGGTCGTTGTTTACTGGTACTCCAAGAAAAGTATTATGGAGTACTGCCACAAAATATGTAGGAGTACCTGGTTTCAGGGGTAAAATAGTAACTTGGAGAGAATTAAGTGTGAATATAAGCTCAGATCTATGGTCACACACGTCAGTACGTGCATACGGATGCGGTGAGCATGGCAGGTTTGGCTGCAGCAATAACCGTGAATAGAATGCTATCTTCCTAAATAAGAACTTAATTGCTCAGGAACAGCTGGAGATTAAAAAGACTTCCTAAATAAACAATTAATGGCTGAAGAACAGACAGAGATTAAAAGATGAGATCTGCTACTTGTTTCTCACAAATTGCCGTCGGATCCAGCGAGATTAAACAAGAATTGACATCATCGAGTAATTCTCTGTATCCGGCCATCGACGGCCAGCTCCGGCGAACGCGCCTGCTAAGGATGCTATGGGGGAGCGAATATGTGCAGTTATGGAGATGGTGGCGGCGGGCCTCAATTGTTGCAAAGTCAGCAAGTTTTGTGTGATGCCATAGTTATCGCCACTCCCATCAGTGCGGCAATTTATATGTACTCCCTCCGTTCCAAATTACTCGTCGCAGAAATGAATGTATCTAGAATTAAAATACATCTAGATACATCCATACCTGCGACAAGTAATTCGGAACGGAGGGAGTATATGTATAGTGTTCTATTGGTTTGCTCCTAGTAAGAAGAATATGATTAAAAACCTAAAATACCCCTATGCATCAAGGGCTAGATTTCACTGGTACTCCTTAACACCCAGGTGGTGTACCAGGGTACCTTAAAATTGCTCCAAAAAAAAGTAATGTTCAAAGCTAACGCTGTATTAGGCTATTAGCTCCTATGCATGCTACCAGCACTTGAATCTGTGGATGTATTATAGCTTCAGAATTGTTGTGTTTTTCACCTTATGGCATCAAGGTAATAACACTGACCATTTCTTCACCTTATGTCCTACACTGTTATTGTTGACTAATAACAACGAAACAAATTTACATGCCATACTAGGCACATGATAAAATTAATGGTCAATACACGGTTCATATGTGTACAATACAAGAACCAACTATTAATACATCATACATGCCAGGTCGACACTGACAAATTGAGTTCAGTTTTCTTGGTATAGCGCTGTAGTTTGCAGTTTCCAGATGCCATACAGCCATACTTGACTGAATTGAATTTTAATCTTTTTTTTTATTTTGTTGTGTTGCCTTAAATTTTCAGGCAAGTCAAGAGCAAGAGACGCCGCTCTTAATGCCATTCAGTCACCACTGCTAGATATTGGAATTGAGAGGGCTACAGGCATCGTGTGGAATATCACTGGAGGAAATGATTTGACTTTGTTTGAGGTTGGTCCATCTATTTGACAGTTTTTTGCTGATTTTCTCACGCCGTATATTGTTTGGTGAACTTAGTTTTTGTAGGTTAATGTTCTGTGCACTCTTTTATATGGTTGTCTAGTTGCCATACATCTAATATGACATGAATACATTAAACAGAAAAGTTGCTACTAGGATACACCAAGTAGTATTATGTTTTATTCGTACATGACAATATCAATCCAAGTGGGTATGATAACGACTTTATAGGGAACAGACACCTGGCATTTGTGGTGTAGCAGCTAGTTTGCCTTCTAAATCGACTGGGGCCACATTTTAATTGCTTTGTTTGTTGTGGGTGTTTCTCTCAGGCTCCTGTTGATTGATTTTGAGTGATCCCACAAAACAGAGTAATAATGCAATAATACTATATATAGAATTAAGTTATTTAGAGGGGTTCAACGTCCGATTAGATTGTGTTCTACATGAATTTCAATACTTTGGTTGGCCTAGTTTTGGAAGTTTGAAATGACGTGATCAAGCATTAATATCTTTTTTATTTTGACCTCATAATTTTATTTATTTATTGCCTTTAGCTATGTTATAAGAAAAACTGATTTTGTGTTTATCTGAAATTGTCACATATGCGTCGGTACCATGGACTTCAGGGTATCAAATTTTCTCAGTATTAACCTGCATTCAAATAAGACCCATCTTCTACTAGTTACTGAATGGCGGAAACAAATTCTGAACAGCTGAGGGATGTTCTATGAAATCGTGATAATGGTGTGATCTATTTCGCTGCATGAAGAGCCAGCTTTTACCAACATGTACACATTGTTTTTAACCATGTTAACATACAAGTTTGATTTCCCTCCATTAGGCAACTTGTTCCTGCAAAACTAAACTATCAGTTGCTAATATATGCAACATACGAGGTAGATTCAACACTCGGTAATTTCCATCTATACAACAGTATATGGCTATATGCCCATAAGAAACTTCGTATTTCACAAAACTGCAATTATTATGTTCCTGGCACCAGCATAGCTCTTGCATGGTTGAGATGTGGTGCTGGACCAGACCCACCCAAATATGTTGATAAACTTGCTCACAAGAGCTACTTCCCTCAAAAACAATGATGATGCTCTGAAGGTCTCGGCATCAAAGTTTACCTGTTGCCTGGGTGTCGCTTTCATTTTTCCAGGGCGGTCATAGAATTTTCAAGATCAGCTTATGTAGTCACCATTTTCATACGGAGGTCTGATTTTCTTATTTTTTAGGTAAATGCTGCAGCCGAAGTAATCTACGATCTAGTTGATCCAAATGCTAATCTGATATTTGGTTCTGTCATAGACCCATCACTCAATGGCCAGGTAAGCCATACGCATATTCATTTTAGCATGTTTCCATACGCCTGTTCATTTTAAGTATGTATGGGTTATATTTAACAGTTGCACTATAAGTTTCTCACAAGTTGGGCAACTGCGGGAGAGATGCGATTAACTTGTTTATTATTTGCTTAGAAATGCTTATGCACATACTTTTTGTCGATGCAGGTTAGCATAACATTGATCGCTACTGGCTTTAAACGGCAGGATGAAGCAGAAAGCCACACCGCAAAGGTAAATACGGTTGCACAACTACTGGTCTAGATTCTGAGGGGAATCTCTTACGCGATCTCACGTGTTGAACCAGGGTGGCCAGCAAATGCAAGGAGACAATGGTCGACATCCATCTTCCACAGGTGGCAGCAAGGTGGAGATCCCCGAGTTCCTTCGGAGGAGAGGACCTTCTCGCTTCCCGCGAATTTGACTCTTCTCCAGGGCTCCCTTTCTTAGATAATGCCTGTTGAGACTCGCCCCTCGTAGATTAGATGCCCTCTTGTAAGATACCAGACCTGTAGAGTCTAGCTGTTTTCCGTAGAGGTTTTACTTTTTTGTAGTTTGTTTGATCTTTCTGTTCTTTATCTTGGAATGCTACTGCCAATAATGTGTAGCTGTGAGCATATCAGTGTTGTAGAAAATGTTCTGCCTTCCTGGTGTGTCCAATCGCGCGCTCTTCTTCATGTCCCCATATGCCTACTTATCTCCTTGTCCCATTCATCGGTTATTCGTGATGCAGGCCCAACTAATCAAACAGGCCAAAGTTGATCCCCAAAGCTTTGATGGATGTTAGGGCATCTCTAGCAAATTTCTTAAAACTCAAATTGGAGGAGCAAAAGTGACATTTTAGTGAAGTTTTGGGTTTAGGGGGTGTTTTGTGCTGTCCGTCGGTTGACGCGTAAAGCCGCCCTTTTCTTTTTTGAACTTCGGCGACCTTTATTAAATAACAACCATGTCTGTTACTACAAGAGAGGAGGTTAAAAAGTAGGGAGTGCTGCTCAGTACGTTTTCCCTCTATAAGAGCAACTTTAATGGGGCGACCCATTTCGTCCGCCCGCGTCCGTTTGGGTCGGCGTGGAAAAAAGTGACGGCCCAATGCGCCAATCCAGACGGACGCGCGTTCGCTTTTCGTCCGCGGGCGACCCATTTCAGGCTCAATTTTGAGCCTGATTTGTGTCGGCGCGGACATGAGAGGGACGCGCGCGCGCCTACTCTCTCCGGGCCCGCCGGTCGGTGGCAGCCACCATCATTTCCCCCTATTTTCCCCAAAAACACTCCCGCCCGCGCGCGCCCTCGCCCCCCAACCAGTCATGAAGGACGCCATCGACCTCGACCTCGACGCCGTCGCCGGCCTTGCCTCCCTCGCCTCGTCCGGCGCCGTCGCCCCCTTCGGAAAAGGCAAGCCTCGTGCCCCACGCAAGACCGCCGCCGCGACCAAGCTGAAGAAGGCGCTGACGGCCCGAACAGCGGGCAAGGGAGTCGGCCAAGAGGAAGGGCCGGAGGGACGCCGTGGATGCAAGGGATGAGGCCGCCGTCGCGCAGCAGGAGTTCACCAACGCCCGCGTCGCGGCGGTAACGAGGGAGGCGCTCTACATGCTAGGGGTAAACCCTAACCAGCACAACGCATTCTAAGCCGCCGTCGCCGCGGCCAGCACCGGCTCGTCGGCGTTTCCTCGGATGGTGATGCCCGACTCACCCGCGCGTCGGTTTGCAACCCGGTCCCCGGCTTCCACGTCTACTCGCAAGCCTCCCGCCTCTCCGGGGAACGCTCACCCGAAGTGAGCGTGGTCGCGCCTTCCACGCTCGCGCCCGCGCCCATCGACCTTAACGCCACCCCGGTGGTCGGTGGCTCGTCGTCCGGCGGCACGAGGAACGCGTGCGACAGACGCCGGCCGGCGGTCTCCCGGACGCCCGTAACCTGTTCGAGGAAATGCCGTCCGCCGTCGACGAGGACTACATGCAAAACCTCATCTTTGAGGGTGGTGCGCCGGGCGCTGGCTACGATCCCGACGAGACACAAAGCCAGGACGGTCGCGGGGTGTTCACGCCGGCCGTTGGCTATGATCCCGATCAGGCGGCCTTCATGCGTGATCAGGTCGGCATTGACCTGGACGGCTTCCCCCTCGACCACGAGTTCCCGGAGGACTATGGGCTAGAGGAAGAGGACGAGTGCGACATCGAAGTGGAGCCTTTGTTCGAGGACGAGCTCACCAACCAAGCCGCCGGTCCTAAGCCGAAGCGCAAGAGCAAGCGCACGAAGGCGTACACAGCTGCCGAGGACAAGCTTCTTTGCGAGTGTTGGCGAAACATTGGACAAGACCCAAAGACAGGCGCCGAGCAAAAGCATTCGACCTTTTGGACTTGTGTGCACCGCGAGTTTCATGAGGGCAAGAAGTTTCCACCTTACCAATTTGTGAGCACGCGCGAGTGGGTCTCCATTTCCAAGCGGTGGAGGGTGATCCAACAAGAGTGCAACAAGTTTTGCGCCACCCTTGAGAGCGTCAAGGCCCGCCCCGTGAGCGGCATCGGCGTGCAAGACATGGTATGATAGCAAGAAAGTCGCCCTCTTTTACGTCTTCATTTGCTATTATTTGCCCATATGCTTGCATGGAAACATTTTGTAGGCATTTCAAGCTTTGGAGGTATTCAAGGTTCAAGACGATGGCAAGTGCTTCAACCTCTCCCATTAATATCGGGTCATCAAGGACCAAGAGAAATTCAAGGCGCAATATGCCGCCCTCAAGGCACATGGGGGGAAGCAAGCCATGGAGGATGTTGGGGAGGGCGAGCCGGCACGGCCGAGGGGGAAGACCAACTCCAAGAAGGAGGACAAGCGAGATGCGGCCACCAACACCTTGATCGCAAGCGTGGACGGCATGATGAATAAGAAGGACTCAAGGGAGGAGGAGCGCCGGCGTTTCAAGGCGGAGTAAATGGATGCTTTCATGAAGATCCAAAGGAGGAGGCTTGATCTTGACGCCGAGAAGCAAGCCAAGATGTTCGAGCTCGAGGCGGAGAAGCAAGCCAAGATGCTGGAGATCGAGGCCGCCAACGCCAAGACAAAGGCGAAAGAAGTGGCTCTTGCAAGCATGATGACCGGGGTAGAGATCGTGAAGGTGGATCTCAACACCGTGTCGCCGAGGAAGAGGCCGTGGTTCGAGAAAATGCAGGCCGACATGCTCAAGTTCGACGACGAGTGATCTATGGCGTCGAGGGCCATCTTTTTTGTATGCCGGCAGGTGTGCCGGCATGACCACGGGAGCCGCGATGGCGTGTGGTCGAACTCAAGTCCCACCCTTTTTGTGTGCTGGCATGTGTGCGGGCCGGCTGGCGAGTGCGCCAGCATGAACTGTGGTATTCTCTGAAGCCGGCATTGTATGCGGGCGCTGGGATGGTGCCGGCAACACGATCGGCCGCGGGCCTTTTTTATTTAAAAGTTGAATGCAGACATGAAATGGGTCGGCGCGTTGGACGCACTGCCGACCCAAATGCAAAACTGGGCGGACGCCGGGCGGGCAGCCGACCCAAACGGACAAAAAGCGGACAAATGCGCCATCCGTTTCAGTCGCCCCATTGGAGTTGCTCTAAGAGCATCTACAACCGGACCCCTCAAACCCACATCATACGTCCGGGCGGGTCGCCTGGTCACTGTCCGGTCACGACTTTTTGACCCAGACGTCACCCTCAAACGTCCGGGCTGACCAACACCTCCCATATCTAGCCCAAATATGAGGTGGATATGGGGACGCCCGGGCATGCCCACCATGTCGGATCCGGCCCACGTGGCCCACCCGAGCCCACATAAATTTCTTCCCATCCGCTCGCCGGACCAAATCCTAGCCACTTCACTCCCCTTCCCTCCGCCACCCAAGCTCGTCTCCGGCTCCTTCCAACCTTCTCCGGCATGGTGGGAAGCGAATCCGAGTCCTTTACCTCCAGATCCGTTGACCCCGAGCTTATCCTGCGCGTCCCCGAGGAGGAGATGGTTGTCCGGCTTGCGCTCCGCTGCGCCCGGGGAGGAGACCCGTGGACGGCTGCACTCGGACTCCATCCGTCGGGAATCCATTGTGTCCGTCCAAATGGGGCATGGATCCGGCGCTAGGCCGGCCATAGCTGCCTCACCGGAGGCTGTGCGGTCCGTCTGGCGTTTGAACGTGTTGGCGGACGCGCAACCCCTCCGGTAGCGCGCCGAGCATCGGGACGCACCATAGACCTCGTCCGATGAGGCCATGGCACGGTGTGCCCGCCGTGCAAGGCACCGGGCGCGGGAGGCGGCGGACGTCGGCGAGGCGGAGTCGCATTCTCCGACGCCTCGTATGGCGCATCAGTCCGGGCGCCGCAACCACGTCATGGTGGACGTCGACGGCTCGTCCCCGAACGGATCCATCATTGATCTGGCGTTCACCGGTACTGTTCGGGTTCCGGTCTCCGACGAGGAAGAGTAGGGCATGAGAGATGGCGGGGCCTTGAGTCTTGTGAGCCAGCTCGTGTCCCATGACCTACCCTACCTTGCCGGTGACTGACCCAACATTCCGAGGAGCGCAGCCGGCCGTTGGACATGGCCAAAGCGGAGCCGGGCGAGCGGGGAGCGGAACCGGACGAGCTCCGCGTAGATTAGGTTTCACGTTGCATGTAATAATATGAATTTGAGGTTTCTAATCTGGGGGTATCCCGATGTGGAATGCATTTTTTGAAGGGCTTCGATCATTATTCGCGGACGCGCCGTAGA